AAAGCAGATCCACCTGTCTTCCCCCCCAGCCAGGTCATTCACTCCACCTCTCTCCCTCCAGGACCCCAGTTCAAGTGCATTCACTGCAGATTCACTGCACTGCTTGGCCCTGCGTTTCTGATGCTGTCACTATTTATTTCTGTGTAAGAACAGTGACAAACCGAGGTTTGGTGAGGGGCTGGTCTCCAGCTTCCCAGGGATGTGGGTGTAGGAGAGGGATACAAACTGAAATATTTTGCTTTTTTGCAAACTCCCACATTTTCTCCATCTGTCCTAATTTGTAACTCTCTTATTTTCCCCATCCATCCCAGTCCCATTCGAGCAATGTTTTCATACTCTCTACCCAGGCTTTCATCTCAGTCGCAGTCTCTCTCCTATTCAAACAGAACGTCTGGCATTAAAGTGTGACTGGCTTTCTTAGTCTCCACCTATAACAAAAATGAGCCTGGCTCAACAGCAATCATGATGGCAACCCCTTTTCAGGTTTATAGCTTTATTACTCAAAATGTTGTGAACAAAATCTCCTTCTGGTTTAACATGTATAATAAATATCCACATCGGGGTGCATGACCAGGAGGTTTGGGTACTGATTGGCTGGCAGTGAGGGCCCTCACTCCTGCATCCATCCTGTTCACAGCCCAGCTCCGCAGGATACTGGTACGCAGCCCTGGCCCAGCTCCACAAGAAGCTGGTAGGCAGCCACGGCTGAGCTATATAGGGAGCTGGTAAGCAGGGAGCTGGTAAGCGGGGAACTGGTGCGCAGAAATATTCACAAAGGTAACAAGGAGCAATCTGGACACACAAGATCCTGCTGGTCTGTCCCCTCCCTCCCATTCTAGAAAAAAAAAAAGAAAATAATAATATGGCAGAAGCCTCTGTGGCAAGTCCTCTGCCACTGGCAGAGGTTTTCAAGCTGGACACTGGAAACAACGGAAACAAGGGAAGAGAAAGAAGGGCATGTGCATGCTCATCAATTGCCAACAGACACAAGTCCTGATGACCTCCAGCAAGCTACTGAAGCATGAATACAGCAGCTAATTGAGAGGCAGGGTTGATTGCCTGCACTGCACTTAGAGGCTTCAGGTTAAAAAAACCCAACAAAACAAACAACAAAAACCCCAACAAATCGCAGAAGAAATCTCAAAGTGATATGTGAAATTATACAGGACACGTGCAGAGAGGGCAAGGAGACAGGAATCTGAGGTGATAAACCTTAACCAGGACAAGCAGCAAAATGTTCAGCTGTTAATTTAGAGCCCAGAGCTGAAGGGCTTGCACCTTTCTGCCTACCGAAGCCTTTGCCTGCAGCAAACAGACGTAATCAAATGACGGGTGGCTGTTAAGCACTGGCAATAAACTATCCCCAGACATACAAAGGGCTGGGGAGTGTTGCTGAATAAACTGTGAAATTTCTTTCACTCTCACCTGTTTTTTTGTAGATTGCTGTTCATTTTCCTCCTGGAAGTGATGGTAAATGCAGGATTAATTTGTCGGTGATATATGCAAACTTTTTACTTATCCTTAGAAATTTGAACTGTCCCTGCCTCCAAATAATCTGGCCTCTCTTGTAATTTATTTGAGAAAATAATATATTTTTAGAAAAGATAGCCAGTCTGGCTTTTGTCTTCCCATTGCATGTGTATTTGTGTGCATGCATGTGCATGTGCATGTGCATGTGCATGCATATATATATATATATAGTAGTTCTAGAGCAGGTGTTACTCGATGAAATGTGTTGACACTGAAATTTACGTTTATTCTCAAAGCAGTCATTGTGCATCAGGTTCATTCATTATCCTGGAACAAGGACAGTTTCTTTCTCTAAACTGTCCTGCAGGCACATTTGTGTGGAGCTCTCAGATGAACTCTGCAATAATCACCAGCCCCAAGGTCTGGCACAATCCAGTTTCAGCCACAGGGACATTACATAGCTTTCACCTGAAACAAACAGGTAAAAATGAATGCTTAAGTCGTCTCCTAGGGTTGCCGTGTGACATAGCCAGTAACACAAATAGGTTACATTGTAAAATAAAACAAAAATTAAGCCCTTTAATAACACAATGATTTTATAATATAGCTAATGAGCATCATCTTATTTTTATGTATTCTAAAGTTACAGCAGTTACACTAGTGACACTAAATCATCTTAAATACATAACCAAAGAAATCACTGCGGAGAACCACAGAAACTTCAAGATAGGCACAAGACTCGGCCACTTCAGATTCTTGTGTTCCTTAGTCTGTCCTCAGTCCCTCTGTCCATGACAGTTTTTATAGTGTGCGATCACATGTTGAGGAAACTTGGACAGTATAAAGGCACAAGAATAACTATAAATGAGCCAAAAATGAGCACCCCGGAGCAGCAACAATAAGAAAACCAGAAGGCTTTTGGAAAGCAGTGCAATTTTATTCCCACATCTCGTTCTGCAGTCTTCAGCTGATGCTATTAAAATACCTCAGCACGAGGCAGTATTTTTATTTTATTGTGCAACAGTCTCTGTTACTGAAAAAGTGGATTGCATTTGCCAAATTCCTATCTTAATTTAGGGAATTTACAGGTATAAACAGAATACAATATAATCACATTTTGACTATACATGCAAATATACAACATTGTAACAGCAGCTTTTTTTAACAGTCAAAACTGTTCAAGTTTCTGCAAGTTTCTACTAATACTTCCACAATGGTAAGCGGCAAAACATTGAACTCCCCCAGGAAAAAGTCTGGCAACAAGAGTCCAGGGGGAGAGCTTTCTACAGCACGTGCCAAACACAGGGGGTACGCTACAGGATTTAAGACTGGCATCCAGGTGGTAAAAAGATCCACATTTCTTGTGGACAGAAAACACGGAGCACAGTGAGGAGAGATCAGAAATGTGGGTTTCTCTTCAGCCACCTGTATGATCATAATGCAGTTGGATATCATAATGAGTTCAGTAATACAGCAACTGTAAGTCATAGGCACAAACTTTTTTAGTCTAGGATGCATTTGAAAAAATAACAAAAACCCCATTATATTAGGCTGTAAACAATAAATAGTGCTTTTATTGAAAAAGATGCCATATGGAGCTTGAACAGAAAGTAAACGTGTTTTGGCACACGGCCAGTATCTCTCAGGTCTTAAACACAAGCTATATGTAACAGGTGATGCACCGATCTCCACGCCCAGTCCCCCAGCTCTGCAGTCTGAATTTTAGCCTGAATGTCTTTATAGCCATCTCTTTCAAAATTCATGGGTGATGCCAGGTCACCCAACTTCTGCAGTCCCTCAAAAAACATACTGGCACATCTGATGTTCCTGCCTGCATTTATGGACAAGAATCTAAAACTTCCCCAGACATCAGTTTTGCAAATATTCCCTGCTGGGTAAATTGCTCATTTCGGATTTCAGTACTGAACGCCCCATGAGGCTGATGCTGCCTGCTTGGCTTGAGAAGGCATTAGGCTAGGCACTGATTAATTAGGGCTGTGGGAATAACTGATTTTCAGTTCAGTGGCTTAATAAATAATAATAACAATAATAACAACAACAGCAAACGTGGTTCATTTTTTCAGGCAATGATAACAACTCGTTTCAGCCTGCGGTCAGGATGATCCAGTGGTTGGGGCACCCTTCCAAGGTGAGGAAGACTCGGAGTCAAATCTCTTCTCTGCCTGGTTCTGAGCAAAGGTTTGACCCAAGGACTTCCACCTCCCCCAAGGGCTAAGAAATACTCAAATGCTTGTTTCCCCAGTCTTCCCTGTTAAATGACAGCCTGGGCACAGGGGAGCAGTTTCCACCAAAACCACGGACATCTTGGTGCTGGCGCACCGAGCACCCAGGCCCGCAAGCACCTGGAGCACGATCTGCCGGAGAACGCTGCAGCTCCCACCTGCCTGCCTGTGCTTCCTTCCACCAGGCACCACAGCACAGGGATGGCAAGGGCTGATCTGCACAAAGCCACGTCCCTACAGGCTGCCAGGATACAGCAAACCTGTCCTGCAAAAGCACTCCCGGGAACCCCAGCAGAGGTGGCACCCCCAGTTCTCCTATCAGCTGTACTTCTGAGAGAGGGAGGAGAGGACACCTAGGTGTGTCCCTGATTCACCTGACTTAGGGTACAAGGAGGGGATAGCACAAAGCACACACTGACTCCCTGTTTTTTTATAGCCCTCCCAAATCAATCAATACAGCCCAACATTTCCAATCCTTTTTATTTGGGTCAAACTAATATTCTCAACACTACATGTAGTTAAAGCTCACAGAAGAACATCCTTCTTTTGCTGACCACAGCTTCTCAAAAGTTCGTATCTGCTTCTGCTCTCATATACACCACGGCAAGACAGAAGTATTTCTACTAAAGACACAAACCACCCAATGTAAACCAGGTCTGAGGCCCAGCCTGGACACAGAATCAGGGAGAGTTTCAGTTCTTCAGTTAAGAGGGTGATTTTACACCAATATAATTCAAGTGGCGCAGCCTCCGGCTCTGTCGCAATTGTATTGACACAGAGGAGCACAGAAAAGTACAGTGAATAGGAGCTTATATATTGCAGGAATATATTTTTATCGAGTGCCTATAATTGGATGGATACAGATACAGAAACACATCGAAAGAGCCTCCATATGGTGTTAAAATCACAAGGCTCCAGACACAAGCTAAGCTGCAGGCCACTGCTATTGTCAGTGTCACTGCCGACTAACTGAATGGTACTGGTGTCCCCTGTGGCCCAGGCTGCTGGACAAGCACCCGTGACTTGCCGTTACCCAACTCTCTCTGTATCCACAGCAGAGGACTCAGCACCTTTGGCTGTGGTGAGTCTAAACTGATGTACTGAAAGCAGCTGAAAGCAAGTCCAAAGCACGAGCAAACTCTGACCTTTTGCTTTTTGACAATGAGGTAAAGTCATCCTACATGATCTGGATTTGTCAGCCTTGATGTGGAAATGTATGCTCTGCCTCTCCCCCTATACAGAGAACCAGGTGTCTGTCCTCAAGCAATAGGTTTTCAAACCTGCTTTTTAAGGGTTTGGCAGTTCTTCATTTTCTATCAAATAATCCTTCTTTATATAGTTAGCACCCCTCACCAACCTCCATACTCCAAGATAGGCATCCTTCAGAGAGCTTCTGTTCACTCCTTGGGTGCCAGTGGCTTTTCCCTGGACCGTCAGTCCCTCAGCAGGTTTCTCACTGCCGTCCTTCTCTTCCTCTCCGCTCTGGCTGTCCCCTGCGGCTGCTCCTTCCACTGCTGTTTCCTCAGCCCTCTTCTCCTGGGAAATCGCCTCCATGGCAAACAGTGCTTGGTCCCCAGCCTGCCTTTTCCCCTCTTCTTCTCTAGTTTCTTTCTCCAGGTCCTCATAATTGCTCTGCCGTCTGGTCTCAATGTACTTGGCCACGCAGTAAATTACAGACCCCAAGGTGTTGACCACAACACCGGCTATAAATAACTTCGTGGGCTCCACATCATTGAATGCCACCATGCCCACCGTGATGGTTGCTATGCTCTTCACCACCCCAACAAAGCTGGTGGTCACAGCCGAGTTAATGTAAGTGCAGTGAAGGGTGGTAAAGTTCATGGCACAGCTAATCAGGATGCAAGCGATAAAGATGCATACCATGGCAGGGTCCTTCCACCCCGGGAATGACCAGACGTTAATGGAATCCATGCTGGCAAAGGAGCAGATGATGAGAAAAGGGGTGGCCGAAACAGCGATGGCATACTGAGCTGTCAGGGGTCCGTACTCACTGTCTACACTGGTCTTCTGAATGAGCACCAGGTAGGCAGCATGTATCAGCACGGCCAGCACGCCTGTCACATAGCCCATGGCATCCCCGGTCAGGTCACCAGCTCCTGTTGGGAGAGTCACAGAAAGAAACAGGCATGGTTCTTGTATGTGAGACAGAAAGAGAGCACCGTCTTGGGCTGGGTGGACATTGAGGAAATAGGCACCAGTGCCCTTGCCATAACTCCTAAGATTTGCCATGCTTTTCCCAAGGCTGGACACACTTACCTCCCAACAGATACATCTGTGTGTGTGTGCGTGTGTGTGTGTGTGTGTGTGTGTGTGTGTGCTGCAAACCTAGTCAATGTCACCCACTCTCCCCCTAAATCCCGCAGCCAAAATCAGATTGTGTTCTCCCTTTTGTGAAGACACTACGGAAGATCTGCAGCTGAAATCGCACATACCCACAGCAACGCTGGGCATACTCTTGCCAGTGCGGGCACATGTCAGCTCCAACTGGCCCAGATGCCTGCCCTCCAGCCCCCTGCCCTCCTTCTGCCCTCCTGCTGCCCCCGGCAAGGCCAACCTGTGTGTGGCCCTCAAAGCGAGAGCCTCCCTGAGCCCCCAGCCAGGCTTCTTTGCAGACGAAGTACCATGTGTCTGTGCTCTGTTCCCTAGGGCAGCCCCCAACTCAGGAGTGTAGCTGGGACACACAGAGCCGGCTTTGTCTCCCACCCCACCTACACCTTGGCTGGAAATCAACACAGGTAGGGCCCCTGGCCCCATAGGGTTGCAGCTGACCCCAAAGCTTGCACCTACCCCTGTATGATTGCGTTTACCCCAGGAGGGCTGCATTTGCCCCTGTGGAGTTGCACTTGTTCCCAGAAGATTGCATCTACCCCTGCAAGGTGGCACCCACCCCCATAAGACCACACCTCCCTCTATAGGGTTGCACCTTCCCTAACAGGGTCACAATAAGGTTGCACCTACTCCTGTAGGTTTACACCGACCCCACAGGGCTGCACCGACCCCCTAAGGAAGCCCCTGTATCCTTCGGGTTGCACGGAGCCCCGTAAGGCTGCACC